ATCAAATCTTTGCTATAAAAGAACTAAAATTTAAAAAAAAATCAATTCAACTTTCTATTATTATATATAATTTTTATATATTTGTGTCTCTAAAGAGATAGAGAACCAATACTCAGTAGATTCAACTTAAAAACCATTATTTGTTGTCTTATTTGATGAGATATAATCGAGATAATGACCTTCAAGAGTAATATATTATTCTTCAAATAAATGACAAGATACAATGTATATGATATCATGACATTAGAAGAGACTTCCAATGTTTGGTGATTTTATTGGAGGTAGAAATGACTCTTGATGATATTATAAATGTTTTGTTTGAAGGAAGTTATGAAGGCTTCTACAATAATCAATAATAGGGTGGTCTTTCCATCTTGGAATGGGACATTATTAGTGCCTGAGAGGACCTATAAACTATCTTTAAAAGGAACAATGATCTTAGTATACATATAGAAAACTTGCCTTGCAAGTTAAGACATATGTCTTGCAAATTGAACACGTATTGGAAGTCCTATAGAATGCCGCCACATAGCTTTTAGTTAGATAGTATATATAAAAGTAAGAGTGAAACCTTCTTCATTCTTATCAATGTCTTTGTAATCCTTTGTCTTATTCTAAGATTGTGTAGTTTTCTTGACTTTAAAAATAGCTATTTTAGTTTCAATATTATATTATTTTTGAATGAATATCTATATTTTTTGAATTACATAAGAGTATATTGAATTTTTGATTCTTTAAGATTCATATCCTTATCATGTATTGAAAAAAAATGCTTTGTACTTCAAATTATGTCTATGAAATTATAACATTATTTTATATGATTATTATATTATAGATTGGATTGAAAATACAAACAATAGAAGGTCAACAAGAAGAAAAGTCAGTATCTATAAATTAAAGATGTTGGAAGTAAAAGTTATCTTATTCCATATTTCTTTTTATATAGAATCTTATTGATATTAAGTATTAGATCTTTTAACTTGAATTTCTTCAATAGAAACAAATATATATGGAATAAATTATAAAATTATCAAAATATTGTATTAAAAATAGATAAAATTATTAAGATTTATAATTTAAGAATGAAACTTTTAAAGATTTTTGTATAAATCATTATTATTCTCTTAAAGTTTTATATGCAACATATGTTTTTATGTAACTTATATTATGTAAACAACTCAACATTAAATTAAATTAAATCAATAAGAATTTAGCCTTGTTCTCATTAAAAGATGCCATTTGATCATATTTGCATATACCTAAAAGGTATAGTTTTAATACTTTAATACAAAGATTAGTAGAATAGAAATCAAATAAAGAAAATATTTTTTTAAATTGTATTTTTTCTAATAATATTACAAGGTGTTTTGTTTGTTATTGTTGTTGTTGTTGTTGTTGTTTTTTTGTTTTTACTTTACTTTGATGCTCTTCAAACAAGACCAAGACTTTTGGTTTAGAAGAAAGGGAACTAAGTTTATTTAATTTTTTTCTACAAGATATTCAAAGTTTTTAAAAAATACAATGTGACCTATGTATTGGCAATAACTTCAAAATGCAATTTGAACAAGGTCACGTCTTCTGTAAGATTCACATATTTCAATAACAATGTTTTTTATTTTAAATTTAATATATATGTAAATATACCATAACTGTTTACATTTTGATGAAAACCAAAGTAAACTCTTATAGAGGGCAACATCCTACAAGTTTGATTTTCAAACCCATCTCCCTGAAACGCTTGTAATGATCAAATCAATATCAATCAATCACGAGTTTATTTCTTGGTAACATGAAGTTTTTACACAATGCTAAACCTATTTTTAAGAATCTCTCCACATTCCATCATTGGGTGAGTAAGGACACAAGCTTCATTTCAGATGATTGAAATGGCAACCACACATCAAACCAATGATGAGTGCTGCTGCACAATCGTCCAATCAACAGTACTAAGTGCGAAATCATTGGAATTAGAACTTTCTTAATTCAGTCATCTCAGCTTTAAAGCTATATTATCCACGGACTAGGCAAAACCTGATCTACGACTCTTTTGGAGGTGTAAGGTACTCTTTTTTCTTTGTTTTTTTTTTAAAAAATCAAGTGGGTAATTACCTTTTTTTTTTGTATGCAACGAATCCTCATCGACCACCTCAAAAAACACCACCTTAGGCAATTCCAGTGACAGAATCTTTCCTTAAGTGAAAAAAACAATCCAAAGCTCCGCGTCTACTTGTGTCAAGACAATGATCCTGGATCGTAGTTAGTTCCGATCTTGCGCAGTGTACTTCGGTGGTTGACAAGGAGACGACCAACGGCAAAGCCCCAACTTCGCAAAAGCTCAGGGGATGCGAAGACCAGTTCGATGTCTACGATGGACTGTTAACCAGTTCTGTGGGTTTCGTTGCAGTGGGTGACAGCTTCCTGTGCCTCTTTGCGATGGTGATCTCACTGGAAAGAGCCGAATGAAAAAAAAAAAAAAAAAAAAAAAAAAAAAAAGAGTAGATGGAAGTCTGCGATTAGCGTGTGGGGGTCCCGGCGTGATCGAATCGGTGCAGCGAGAGGCGCGACTGATCTGTCAGATTTGATCCCTCTTGTACTGATTCTGCCTATGTCGCGCCTGCGGTGATTATCTTACCTTGGATGTGAAGAGATTGGAGAGATATTTGCTTGCCGTAAACTGGTTTTACTAGATTAGTATGATTGTAACAGTATTCTGTCGCGTAGTTGAGGAATCAACTGCTGGAGTAGTGGTTGTAGGGAGATGAATCCTTGGGCTTGGCCTTGCTGGTTTGTGTTGACCAGTGCGACGTTGGTGGTACGATAAAATAATATATATGTAATCGTACTTGGAAACATGAACCTCCCTACGCAATTCGCAGCTCTAGCTGCGAGGAGTCAAGTCGCAGAGACTGTAGGAACAAGGGATGGTGAGCAGCGAATGTAATCAGTTCCCACATGCAAGATTGACCCCACTTCTCTGGGTGTGTACTTCACACACCAGAGGGATGAGTCGAAAAGATGAGGGGTGCTATGATCGCACTGCTGATGCTTTTCTCTCCTCGCTAGGTTGGAGAGACATTTTTATTTTAGGGTACCATATCAAACGTTTGCCAGCCGATGAGTGATTTATCGACAGCCATGTGGATGAGTGCTCAAAAGAGAAAATAATCGAAGTCAAGCGCTTGTGCGTGACTTTTATCCCCAGAAACATGTATCCTTACAAATTTTCAAGGGGGAGTAAAGAGTCGTACAGGCTCTGGCACTAATGCTGTCAATGAACCTGACAAGTCGTCTGCATCAATCGATCCATTGGCAGCTCAGCATTACAGCTGGTCGTTTCGATGGTGCAGATTGGGGACTGATCTGCAACTTAGCTGGGAGTTCATGAGCTGTGCAAAAACAAACAGGAGCCACCCGTTGGCATGATTTAACATATCTATGGTTATAGATTTATATATTGAGACATAAATATACTTTAGGATAAGATAATTGCAAACCAAATTGAGATTTTGAAAAAGACCAAGGATCGAGTCTACTCGAAGATTAATCTGGACATTTCCTGTTGCGTCACGATGTAGCGCAGCCACAATGCTCGCAACCTCAAGGGAATTGGGGGATAATTTGCAAGTGGAAAACATCCTATGCATGAGGAATTTTGCACATACCACTGCATGACAGGTTCCACAGCAGAGATCGTTGGGTCAGGTCGAATGTCGTACTTTTACGCAAATAACCGTTCAGGTGTCCTTCCATGCATGAGCATGTGTTCTGGGAGCGTTTTTTGGATGGAAACGTTGAGGCATTCGTAATGGAAGTGGCGCAGATCCTCGTTAGATTGGATATATCTGTCCTCTGTTTTAAACACTGCAAGGTTTCAGAGCATGCTTTACTATATTTGGATCTGGAAGTCTTATTTGGTAGACGACGAAACTCATGACAAAGCTCACTCTCCTCTCTGTCGAACAAACTTTGACTATTCTTACAGTCCCTAAGTGTTCAGTGATCTTCCGGTGAATACAGGTAGATGACTTAGATTGTAACCCTTACTAAATTTCAATAAATAAATAAAAATATAATAAAAGCTAATGCAGTTCCTTAGAACGTGATGGGATCACTCATAGAAAAATAACAGCTTAGGGATCCAAAAAGCTATCCTAAGCATGATCAGTCACGGCGATTCAGAAAAGTAAAATTAGATCGTCTACGAGCACTTATGATGGGTATGAGTGAGCTGGAACGGGACTATGCGGAATCCATCAGATGCGTAAAAATATCGGCTTCAGTAAGACTTGTGTGACCTCCACGAAAGTCTTCAGTATTATTTTACGAGCAGGTAACACATCATTGTAATGCGGGCCACACTGAGAACCATAATGTGACGGAGGCAGAGAGTTCTATAAATTCCCGAACGTACTGCTTTTACTGATAGTGATGGCACAAAATTAGAGCCGTGACCAAAATGAAGAACCGAACGCGGCTGTTTTTGTGATGACTTCACAGGAGGTGACCTTAGGAAGTTTCATCGAATCGTATGGTTGTCCACATGGGAAAAGGCTCCAGTCCTTGTGAAAGCTACATCTTCACACTTTCCCTGGCCTATGAGGTGAACATTTTCTGTGGCAGTCGTCCTTCTGTTGAAGTCGTACTAGCAAGCAGCGTGCTAGTACGAGTTAGTCCTGGTTTGAGACGAGTGGCCCTAGGCCCCTGACTAGCTTCCTAAAGTGGCACCAATGGAATGCTATACATTGCACTGGCGGAGTGTGATTTTTCATGCATGTCCCTAAGAGAAACTGGTTCTAGCCACTAAACTCCCCATGTCGTCGACGTCGATGTAGACCTGAGTTCCAGAATTCTGTTGGATTCTGAATATATATAATTTTTTTAAACAACCAAGGCACCTTTCCTCACACCACAGGTTTGATTTCCAACATAAAGCGAGACTCAAGAAAGATTTTTAGATAGGTATTATACTGATGGTTTGTATGTACCGGTGACAAGCTAGGTGAGAACACGAGTTGACTTGAATCATAAAACACATCGAATCGTGTTCGACGACAAATGTTAACATATTGTGCTGCAGCCCCATGCTTAAGGGGACTCTTCAAAGTTCTCCCTCTGTTGCGAGTGTAAAACTATGAATTTGAGAACAGAGAAAGCTCAAATTTTAAAATGTGTGTTATTTTTCGAGATAAATACATAAGAATGGACCTAACTAGAATCCTAAGTTCATGATCTGGACATGCCGAGATTGGTGGGATTGGTGGGTCTAAGCATGTCCTCCAGAAGACCCCCATCTGTAGTTCCAGTTGATTCTTGACTAGGCGCTGCACTAAACAGCTCAGAGACAAGCGGTCTATCTAGAAAAGATTTGACCGAGATGGGAGGGAAGGGCTGCTGTTCAGAGGAAGGCCCTACATCACTATTGAAAGAAGAATAATCTTTAGGAAGGCTGCCTAGATGCTCCGGCACAGCAGAGCCGAGTGATTCAAATTGTCTCTGTGTCAATCTGGCTCCTGTTTCATTACTCTGGTTTGAGAGTGAACTGCCGTTTGAAAAACTTGAGCTGGGTAATTTGATTGATCGAACTTCTTGGGGCCTCTTCATATTGTGTATATGATCTTGAGCCCCGAACTGGAAGGGTTCGCTCTTGATTGATGACGCCCAGCCTGGTTCTCGCTGTAATCTGAGAAGCTCCTGCGCTCGTAACAAATTCAAGTTGTCTTGAATTGAGCCATCATCTTGCTGTGACAACCCCCACAGAGGCGACGTAACCGATGAATAGAGCCGATCAGAACTTGAGAGGTCAAGATGGCTTTGGTTGGGAAAACGTGGTAAAGCTGGGTTTCCGGCTTGGCTGTAATGGTGACTTAGAGTTGATAGAAGCTCTTGCAAACCCCCCGGATACCCCACAGGACTCCTAAGAAAAGTAGGCGACTGATGTGTATGAGTGCCTTCGTAGGTAGTAACCATCACGCCCGGATCGTCGAAGCACCGCTCAACGCGCTTCCGAACTGGACAGTTCAGAGTTGTGCACCTGTAGTAATTTCTGCACGAGTCATCGAATCAACAGTGAAACTATTTCAATACAATAGTCCATTGATGGGAAATGGTACCGACTAGAACCAAATCCTGCGCATGTTTAAAGACGAAATGGTGAAAAGAATCTGTACCCTGGCATTCGGCCCTTGGAAACTTTAACAACTACTTTGCAACTTCAAAATTAAGTTATTGTAAAAGCGACCCGCTCAATGACCAATGTGTCAATTCAACACCGCGGCTTTACTAAAAGGTCAGGTTGAGGGACAGCTCAATCACCTGCAATCCTGTATCTTTGTACTTGTTCAATTTCAGAAATCAGAGGCCTCACGTGCAGGTTCCTATTGGAAACATGCTATCAATGTCATTCATTGTCCCATATCCGTGATTTACTGGAATCTTTATCAGTCGGAAAGTTAGCGGTCCTACTACATGCTTCCCTTGGCATCAAACGCTGCAACGTATAAAGCACGGTCCTAGTGCATGATCTGAATTTTTTCGAGATCACAAACATGTGTTGTAGTGCTATATAGTTTCTAGCAGCATCTGCAAACAGTGGACGCCGAGTTCCTGATTTGACTGCAGGCAGTTGTAGCGCAAGGAGACACTAACGACAAGAAAAACCTACCACGTTTCCTGAGATTTTCTTGAAAAAGTTCAGTACCTGGGGTGAGGGCTTTTTTTGACAGCCTTCTGTCCATACTTCCTCCACTTGTAACCATCATCCATTACATCAGTATCAGTCCTGGTTTTAATCGCGTAGCGTGGCTCGCGCACCCTCTTCACGCCTAATTTCTTCCTCGGTCGATTTCTGCAGAGAATACGCGCCATATTCAAAATCAGAAAAATCTATCACAAACGTTGAAGACTAGTCCGAAACGTAAATATGTATCAATTACACGATACACCCTGCATTCTAATGTGATGATAAATCTCAATAGATTAGAGCGCAATCAGATAAAGCTCTGATCTGCGTAGAAATGATTCAACGGAACTGCTTACGTTGGCTTCTTGGTTTCCTGGTCTTCACTTTTATCATCTTTCCCATCCTTCCGATCAGGTCTCTTCCTCTTTGAGCTTAGAGCCGAAGTGCCTGCAGCATCCTCACAAATAGAACTGTCGTCTTTCCCCTCCCCTTTCTTAAGTTCTGCTTCTCCATCGCTGAGGGAGGACGACAGCGACTCCGAATTGAACGGTGTCTCCGAATGAGCTGGCGTCACAGATCTAGATTGGTGCTCAACATTTACATGATCAGAAAACTGAGATCCAGAAGACTTGGGCTTCTTCTCTTGGAAGTGGGATTCGTCGTGTAAGGAATCCTCAAACGTTGCTTGTAGTTCAAGCATCGACTGTGCCCACGCAACGTGATCAATGGGAGTAGCAACTGACGTCTCAAGAGGACTAACAGAGGAGGAAACATTGGATTCGTGGTCCTGAGAACCTCCTGTTAACCCATATTCGTTGGACCTGCTACAGAATCTAGGATAGCTTGCTTCAGAAGACGAAGGCGTCCCTGTACCGGCATTCAAACTCCGTTGTTCGAGCTCCTCGCTTAACCATGGAAAGTCCGCGAGAATCTCTCTTTGAATTGGGCTCAGATGCTGGGGACTGCCAGTCCTCCAGCTCGGTTCTGAGTTGTTGGACGTAGCTGACGCTGCTAGACCTCTCAACTCTGGTGGGGGTAGACAGAACGACCACGCATTTAATCCCGGACTGTACTCCGGGAAACGCCCAGAGGAGGTTGAATCAACTCCCAGTTCAATGTGTGACGATTGACTAGATGGGGCAGCTTCTGAGTCAGTCGAGGAGCGCAATATTCTTCGCGAATTGTGGATTTCGCTTAGGTCTGCAGAGGAGTCTTCCTGACGTGAACGAAATGTGCCCTCCATTGGTCCTACAAAAACCAGGATGCGCCTCCGATAACGGGAGACTCACTCAATCTAGTAGGAAACCCAATTACCTGGACCAGATAATCCTTGATGTAATGATATTCCAGTCTTTCCGTCTACTCAACCGACTTTCAGAATTTGTGTTGCTGTCCTCAATAACCTTGCTGTCTGCATTTACTAAATCGCTCCGTTCCCGCCTTAAGCACAAAATTTCACCGTCCGGAAACGACGATGACCAGCAGGTAGCAACCTTGAATTCGCCTTCTAATACACACAATGGGTGTTTGAGTAGGTGACATGTTTCAGAAGAATCATCCAAGAGGCTACTCAAGCGCTCCACAACGAGACCATAATATTTCTAAAAACTTTGCCAGATTCCAAATATGTACTACCAGTTGGCCACCAAGCGCTCTCCCCAAACTCACGACTAAACCCAAGGGTTGCCACAACTCTAACAAACCAAGACTAAAAACCCAGTGACACAGTCCACGACCTCTACTCACAGCGAACACAAGCACCGTAGCGACAAGTCCGTCAGGTTCATCACTCCCAAAATGCAGCCCAACGAAGGCGATTTCCGCCTCTCAAACATTCAGCTCGAATCCACAAAAAAATAAAAAATAAAAAATAAAAAATGGAACCTCAATCGCGTCGAACGCGACTACAGCAAAGGAAACATCGCAGGTCAAACGAGAATCAACTCGCGGTTGGCCAAAATTCAACGATGCTCAATTCCTCCTTGCTCGATACCGAGGCTCCGTGAGCAAAGACAACGAGAGAGAGAGCGCAACAAAAGACTGTTGGTTGCAAGCGAGGCTGGAGCGTGTAGACTCTGCGCCAGAAATGGATTTACTATTCCCTGCCTAGGTCTTGGGAAGATTATAAGGGCCTGGGACTTGGAGGCAGTCGGTGGACCCCGGTGCCGAGATCCGCGACCTGGAAGCGGGCGACAAGCCCACGGGGGATGCGGAGCTCCCCGAGCCCTGGACGGAGTTGCCTCGACGGTGACCGACGATATTTGCCTCGCTCCGTCCTTGACATGGTCGGTCGCGTCGATGGGCCGTCACATCCGCCGTCGATGGCTGGGCTCAAAAATAGCCTCTTTCACACGTAGACCTAACATCTGCTCCTCCTGCTGGACTTCCAAGTGGGCTTTCTGCTTTTGGTCAATCTGGAAATCTGTTGCTGCGCGTTTTGTGCCTTTACTCCGTGATTTTTGACCGCTGGGAAAATTCCTTTCCTGTTTCAGGGCTTTTCTTGTTCCTCTTTTTTCTTTTCATGCTGGTGGAGCTGATTCGGTGCTGCCATCTCTGTTATACGTTTGGTTCTTTTAACACACATATTGGAATAAAAATTCCTCCTTTAGGGTAGTTGTTTTTATTATTGGGGATTTGACATTGTGGGTTCAGGTGATGATGTGGTGTAAGAAAGAAACAAGTGTTGCTGTGGACAGAATGAATCAGATTTTTTACTGATATTGTGTGGATGATGGATATTTCCTTCTTTCTTTCTTTCTTTTTGAAGCTGATGTGGCTTCCATCACAAGGCCAATGTAATTGAATAAGATTACTGAGTCACGAAGGCATTTTTTTACTTCTTTTCAACCATCTTCGTCCAGAGGGGACTCGTATTTCAAAATGTTTCCCAAAACTATTCAAGATTGAACAGCCACTGATTCAATTTAAACAAGTATTGAAAATTATTCATGTTATTAAGACTCATCAATTTTTTTCTTTTTTTTTCCCTTCCTCTATCCTTGATAATCAAATTTTGACTTTCTAGTTGTTGGTGGGGAACAGATATGTATGCCAGTGGGGGATAAGATGGGCCTTTGTAGCAACCACAACAAAAAGAATAAATTCAAACAGTTGGAAGTTATGTGTTACCCAATACATACACACACACACACTGTATGTGTGGTTGACTCTCATAGCCCCACCAGTAACATATACTGTGTTAGCCTATCTCCACTTCACACATCCTTCAGATGTTACAATCAATCTCAGTGATTACATACTAAGCACACAAATAAACAAGAAATAAACAAATCAATCTAACAAATGATAAAAACAAAATAAATTGGCATGCTCACCCACACACTCAGACACACAGACTCACACAGATTGACTGATTGCTGCTGGCAGACAAAAAACATGGAAAAATAGATTTATAAGGCCTTTAGGTTTCACACTCAGTCTCGGTGACAAGGAGAACCCCTTTACAAATAGTTTGACCAGGTCAGAATGGGAGAGAGAGGAATGAGAAAATCAACAACACAAATAAACTCACAAAATCATGCAAACCCACATCCTGTCTTCATCAATGCCAATCACAGTATTCCACCTCTACTATTGCATCTTTGGAAGAGTTGAAACTGTGGTCATGTAGAGGGACTAGACAAAATCCAATCCAATCAACTGGCTGCCTCCATGAAACCTGTGCCATTGCAAAGCAAAGGAATAGAAAATTACTTGCAATAAACATGGGATTAAAACTGAGAACCACTGTGCCACGTGGGACTCCTCCAAGGGACACCCACATGGCTCAAAATTCTCTCTTCCTCCCATTGTTTGTTGTTGTTCTTCTTGTTCTCCCTTTGTTCTAATTAATTTCAATGCTCTCGTATTTGACAACAAGAGATCAATCTCTCTCTCTCTCTCTCTCTCTCTCTGTTCCCACAAAAAACTATGAGAAAAAGTTGATGATTTCATGTGGATGCTTTTTGTATTAAATTCCACAAAACTTTGCTCACCATCCAACTTATTAGTGTAAACTTTCCTTCTTTATAAAAAAATTTGAGAAAAAGAAAATAGGAAAATAAAGAAAAGAAATGAAATTGAAACATGTATTTGGGTTAAGTCTGTAGTTTGTTTGCTCAAAAGTTTCAATGTATGTGTGTTAAACATTTGACACATCAAGTGAGGTTTGATAGAATTATGGTCTAAGATTTAGTGCATTTGGGTTTTATCTAAAAAAAAATATGCAAAGTATTATGAAATTTTTTTATTTTTTATTTTTTTGCTTAATTCTACACAAAATTTTAATTCCAAAATTAATAAATGCATACATTAACAATGTTATGCAGAATCCTCTAAATAATTGTTTATTTCATACAGACTGCTAGATAAATATCATAAAACTCAAAACATGTTTGAATATTATTTTTAATTATGTTTCTGACATTTTTCATAAGACTATGTCAAATCATTTATGTCATCTTTAATCTTGACATTTTACAACCATATAAAGTATATATATATATATATATATATATACACAATTTTCATCTATGATATTATTTTTTAAAAGATTTAAATTTATTTATTTATTTATTTACTTACTTATTTTGTAAAAAACCTCATATATTTATAACATGAGCTTTATATGTTCTTTAAAATATAAAAAAATAAAAAGGCATAATATGAGGATAAAAATTTAAAAAATTAAAATTGAAATTTCATTTTACAGATGTGAGTTATAAAATTTTAAAAATATTGGAAACTTTGCAAATTACACAATTGTCCATAATGTGAACAAATTGATTGTGATCTTTTCCTAAAAAGTTACAACACCCACAAAGATCATCATTTTACATTAAAACCCAAGCCAACAAAACTCGACACCATCATCATGACTCATAACAATGCAACCATCAATAACAAGTTTTGGAAAGTTGATTTTTGGCACACATTGAACCAACAATCACTACACTTATAATTTCATTTTCTACAACAACAACAAATAGTGGTAACCCATGTAGCCCAATGGCAGCATGCCTCTTTGGATGGATCTATCATTCAGTGGTCCTGCTCAGAAGCTGGAAATCGGATTTGACACACTTTGCTCATTCATGGAACCTTTTGGGTACCATTGTGATTGCCCGTTTGCCTTTCGGTGGCCCCCTACCCCCCCTCCCATGGTTGACAGTTTTCAATACATGGATAAATAACAGATGCCAACCTTAATGCCTGCAAATTCTACTGTTGGAATTGTGGGTTGTGAAGAAGATGGGTACCACTAGTCCTTCTCCCAGACTTTGACCACAATGCTTCTCAGAAAGTGCTTGTTTGTTTGAATCTGTGTATGAGTCTGGAAGGTTCCACTGCTGCTGCAATTGTTGTGAACCACCAGATTCCATAGGTCTACACTTTGTAAATAAATAAATCAATATATTCTTTTCCTTTCTTTCTTCTTATTTCATATTTTCATAAAGAAAGATGAAAACTGCCAAGGGAAACCTCCACAGGCATGGGTCAATTGATTTGTTTTTAGGTGGTAAATCAAAACCTTTCAATTGTATGAACTTTTGTGTGTAGATACAAAGATTTTTTTACTATCAAATTGGTTCTTGCTGTGGGGTGCGTTTTATTTGTGGAATATTAGGTTTTATGAAACATGTACAAAAATTGTCATTAAAATGATAGGAAAAATAAATAAATAAATAATTTGAAATATTTTTCCCTTTTTTGCATGTATGTGTGTGTGTGTGTATATATATATATATATATATGAAGAACTAAATGAAAATAGGAAGAAAACTAAATGATGTGCTATGGAAATCCTCTTATTTATTTATTTATTTATTTATTTTCATTTACATAATTAAAAAAGAATAAATCTATTAAAAATTAGAACTTAGCTTGATTGTTTTGCAACATTAAGATATTTCATTGTGATTGATAATTATATTTAATATTGTATCAACAGTAAGTCTTTGATAAGTAAATCATGAACAGGTTCTCATAAAATATTTAAATAAATTCATTAAGTCATATCAAAATAATTAAGACAAAATGTAAAAGAATACATAATAATGTATTTAATAATATCGATAAATTTAATAATATTGATAAGTAAATATGTAGTTATGATTTAAATATCAAAGAAATTAAAGAAATTACTAAGGGCATTTCAATTTTATAAATTTACATTGAAAATTAAAAAAATCAATCATTACATTAACTTAAATTGTGTTTTGAGAAAAGTTATTTTATCAAAGTTATATCAAAATAATTGAGACAAAATGGCCTCATTGCACAAATACAATGCAAAATAAAATAAAAAAGTATTTGTAATGTATCAATTTTTTTAGCACCGAAATTTACATCTAAAATAACTAATTATAATAATCTATGGATGGCAAGAAAGAAATTAATTATCAAATTTTTTTAAGTTACAATTCTTATTACAAATCATAATAGAAATAAATTTCATCTATACAAAATCTAAGTTTTTTTCTTTCAAATAAATTTAATGATATTATATCTAGGTCATGAAAACTTACTTACCAAGTCTAACTCCTTATTATATTCTACCCTCAAAGTTATAACCGCCATTAGATTTAATAGAATATTATTAAATATATTTTTTGTTCTTAAGAAACTAATATATGTCTGCATATGCTTAGAATTTTTAACAACTAGCAATTAAGATCTAATAGAATGATATAGAACCTATTAATAAATTATTATATGGCTTATAATATAATGAAAATAGTTTACAAGTCAATCTTCTTAGTATTTCTTTACAAAGTGAAGCAAGTGACTTTGTTGTTAAATACAATAATAAAAATTTAAAATATTATTTGAAAAATCATTTGATTATAGTTTAGTATATTTATAATTTTAAAAATTAAATTAGTTAAAAATAAAAAATAAAAAATATCACATAATTGAATTATTTTTGATGAAATAAGTTATATTTTTATTATTGAGATTTTTTTTTTCTCTCTCTCTCTCTCTCTCTCTCTTTCTATATATATATATATATATATATAGGATTTTTATTTTATCTTTGTATAAAATAACACCTATGTTTGTATAAAAATTTAGCTTATGTAT